AAAGGGATCGAGGAACACCCGTTCACGGTCAGCGCCGCCGGCCAGACGTACAAGCAGACAGATCGGTTTGTGTACCTCGGACGAACCATCTCCGCGGACGTGAAGGCCGACGGGGAGATCACGAGCCGCAGCTGCCGAGCATGGAAGTGCTACCGCCGGAATAGTGCTTCGATGTATGACAGGCGACGGGCCGACCGCGAGCTCAAGATCCGGCTACTCCAGGCTGAAGTGGTGGAGACCCTCCTATATGGGTGCGCCTCGTGGAGCCTCACAGCGGAGCACTACACGAAGCTCAATGGGACCCCCCGCCAGTTCCTTACACGGTGCATCGGCTGGAGCAAGCGGAAACGCTCAGACCGCCCCCTGTCCTATGCCCAGGCCCTCATCCAGGCAGGCTGCGAGGAAACCATCGAGGCCACCGTGCGCAAACGAAGACTGTGTTTCGCGGGCTTTGTTATGCGCATGGAGGGCAACCGCCTCCCCAAGCGCATGCTGCTAGGAGCAATGGCGGGGGGTGTGGGATACCGGGGCGGACGGGAGAGCGACTAGGTGTCTCGTCTAGGAGAGGACCTCGTGGCCTTCAACATGGGAGACGAAAAGGAAGGGGGGAAATGGAAAGAGAGCGCCAAGAACTCGGAGGTGTGGTACAACAAGGTCGAGGACGGGGCGGCATGGTTCATGAGGAAATGGCACAGGCAGGAGGCGGAAGCGTCCGCGAAGCGCCAGCGCGCGAGGGAAGCAGAAGCAGAGAGTACGACCATCTCAGGACCGAAGCGAAAGAGATCCGGGGAAGCGGCGGTGGGGGAGAAGAGACGGCGACCGGGCACTGCTGTAGAAGCGAGTAGGGCGGCCGAGGCAGTACTTGTGGCGAACTATGTACCCGGCTGATGTTGTTGCACCCTGTTTCCCTCCCGCTTTATGCTATACTCCTTTATGTATGTCCTTCGTATTGCCTTCGGCTTCTGTGCTGTGTTTCTTTTTTTTCATGTCCTCCCTGCCTACTCTGCTGTGTTGGGTACCTTGATCTCGCTTGTTTTGCTTGCTTTTGTTTTTTGTACATCTAGACTATCTGGCTGTCTGCCCATCTGCCGCCTCTTTGTCCTGTTTGATCCGTTACTCCCATGCCCTTGTGCGTAGTGCCTGGTGCTGGTACGTTACCCTTTGATTTTTTCTCTAGGCGGTTGTGGGAAGCGTCCTCCTTTGTTGTTTTTGTTGTATTTTTGATCGGTTGCCGAGGGCTCTTTTCTCGAACGGTTGGTGCGGTACCTGTTCTTTTCTTTTGTCATTAATTTTTTATTTTTCATTTGTTAGATTTTTCCGAGTGGTTTGTACCCTATCTTTGTTTTTTTTCCCCGCGGCGTCGTATGTGCCGGGTTTTGAGACCACGGGCTCCCCATTTTTGTGGACAACAGAGCTAATGTGGGAAACAACAACAACAATTCCCAGCATATATAGTCTATCATGCAGATAGATGCACACAACGGCTACCACGCTGTCTTGTTGACCCTGTTACCCACGGGGGAGTTTTCGCTGTATGCTGCTCGGGAAATCATGGAAACACAGGTAGCCTTCACTGACGCTATGGATTCATTGCTACTCTGTCTTGGACTCTTTTCTTAGAGATGGATTCATTGTGTCATATTTAAGAAAACAAAAAAAAGCTTTTTCTGACGCTATGATTCCATTGTCAATCTGTCTCTGACTCTGATCAATGATAGAGATGGACTCGTTGTGTCATGTAAAGAAAAATAAAAAACAACAAGCGGGAAGAGCGCGAGAAAAAAACGTTCGAAAAACGTTCCCGACGAACCGAGAATGGTTCCCAGACTTCAAAAGAACCTGCGGAACGGCGATCTTCTCTTCTTCGAGAAGAGGTTACGCCGCCTCTGCCACTCGCCCTCGCTCTCTCGCCCCCACCTCCTCACACAACTATGGACAGCGTCAAGAACAACAACAACAACACCATGAACAGCAAGGCGACGGAGAACACGGACAACAACAACGACATCAGCGTGGCAAAATGTGTGACTAACAAGCCCAGCTGCAAGCGTGCGGTAGAGCCGAACCCTCTGCTGTACAAGGCTGCAGCGAGAAACCTTCGCGAGTACCACGGTGTCCCCTCCATGACGGCGGGCGGCCTGGAGAAGACCATGGTCCTGCTTCAGCTCCGCCCCGGCCGCCTCGTGGCGCAGGGACTTGCCTCAAAGCAGCTCCTCAAGGGAAAATCAGCAGCTGGCGGCGCTGACGCGGACAACACCGACAGCAGCAGCAGCAGCAGCAGCAGCAGCAGCAGCAGCAGCAGCAGCAGCAGTAGCGGATCCGAAGTCGAGCCAGAGCAAGCGGACAACAACCAGGTCTCGGACGACTCGAACACCAACAGCAGAGACGGCACCGACATCGAGCACGACCATGTTGCCACCCAGGACAGCATCGACATCGAGACCGGAGCCAGCAAGCACCCCATCCACGCGGTCTTTGTCGCCGCAGGCGTCCAGCTCCGGACCCGCGAAACCAGGCCGTTGCTCCGTGCGCTCGGCATAGGACCTCACCGCCTAGTCAAGCTCGGGCTCGTCCAGCGCGAAGAGCTTCGGCGGTCGAGGCCTGGAGGCAGGCGGGGTGGTCCTCCTCACCAGCAGCCCGATCGCTCTGGAGGTCATGGGCACCACCACCACCGCGACGGTGGAGGCATGGGTAGGCCTCGCGACCCCCCTCCGCATGGTCCTCCGCCGCACCGCCCTGGCCACGGCCACGGCCACGGCCAGGGCAGGCGTCCTGGCCATGGTGATCACCGCCGCTGGTCCAGCCCTACCCACGGACCACCCCGCGGACCTTTCGAAGAACACGGTGGACTGCACTCGCACCACGGACTCGGCCACCACCACCACGGCGGCGAGAGCGAAGGAGAAGAAGAAATGGTGATGATGCAAGCCAGGCCGCGTGGCTCTCCTCATGGAATGCAGCCCCCCAAGCACCTACGCAGACAACAAGGCGGTCGTCGTCGCCACGGGAAGCCCATGCAAGACCGCCAAATGCACCCTTTCCACGGCGAGGGTGTACACAGCAGCGGGGGTCAAGGAGAGCGTGGTCCTGGAATGCACATGGGCCCAGGTCACCGCGCCCACCCTCGTCGCCACCCGGAACACCACGGCATGCACCACCTGGACAGCGACCGAGACGCCGCCGGTATGGACATGGGCCATGGCCCCGTTCCTCTCAGGGCAGGACAGCACCACCACCACAGCCCCGTCTGTCTACACCAGGGACTGCACGACCCGCCCCCCGGCCCGCCCGGCATGCGGGGCGGAATGCGGTGCGAGGACTTCGGTGATGACTTCCACCCCCGGCAGCATCAGCACCAGCACCAGCAGGACCTGCAGCAGCACGGAAGGATGGCGGCGGGTCGTGCTCGCGTTCACCCCTGTCATGAGCGCCCCCCGCCCCTGCCGATGATGCCGATGCAGGTCTACTGAGAAGATTAAGCACACCATGATCACGGCTGGTTGGACGGTATGTTGCTGCTGGACAGAAAGCTACAACGAGGCAGCAGCATTGACGTGGAGTAGAATGTAAATCTTCGGTGGAAGAACAAGAGACGGTTTCCTCTGATTTTGGTGTGCTTTGAATTTGTTTGTTAACTTGCAATTGGGCAGAAGCCTCCCTCGGAAAAACTGGTACGAGGGAAAAAGGACGTGCGCGTTACGGTATACACCTGTGCGTGGTACGGTACGTTCTAGAGAGCCTCTGCGCTCATGCAGCCGTAGTGTAAGTAAGTTTTCGTGTTTGAAGAGTTTTGCATTTGTGTGTGTACGCGACCAGTTGTGGGGATTTCTGCCCCCTGTGTACGGCTGTGCTCTTTGTAATTTGCTCTGCGGTGGCAACTAATAGCTGCGGTGTCGTAGCAGGTAGTAGACGTAAATGACCTCTGAGGTTGTAGCGGGGTGGGCCGCCTGGCCAAGAGTGACGGAAAGCACAATTTCTTTCTTTTTTTCTGTTGGCGGTGTTGGTGTTTGGCGGGTGTGGTGAGTGATGGTAGCCACCTCGGAGCCGTCCATAGCTGCTAGTCGTTTCTCTGTTGCGTTTCGCGGTTTTTGGGTACGCGTGGGTGTGTATCGTCGAAGCCACTTTCAACAGTAGTAGTGGCGTGGCAGGCGAAAGGGGACACACAGAAGAAGAGTAGACTAGTGCAGCCACAGAAGCGTATGTAACACTTGTCTTAGCGGCAAGGCGTACGTGCGTGTTGTTGTGCTCAGGCCGGCCTTCGTTGTGTAGTTGCAGTGACACCACGGTGTCTTGTCTTGGTGGTACCGTGTGCTGTATGGAGGATAGTAGGCAGACAGTGTTTCAGGCCGCATGCGTGCAGCACAAGTATTGTTGTGCTTGTGATGGAGCACCCGACAAAAGAAAAAAAAAAAAACAGTGGCTTCGAACTCGAAGTTCACGAAAAAAATAACACCCGGTGGGTTCTTCCCACCACCCTCTTGAGAAAGAAAATGCAAAATTCCCACAAGGAATTACCTCATGTTTGTTTCTCGTGCTGATCGTCACCACCGGTGCCGAAATCGAGGCAAATCGAGCTGTCTAATGACTGCTCTCTGCTCTGCGCTGCACGATCGCGTAATACCGTTATAGTCGGTGAGATGGCACCGGTGTGCGCAAAAAAATACAAGCACGGCATGATTTAATTCGATTTACGCACCGGGTTGTGAGATCGCATCGGGTGCTATCTCACTGATCCCCAAATCCAATGCTGAACTCCTTTCAGATGCCAGAATGAGGTACATGTGCGTACCTTTTGCACGTGGGGACGCTGTCAGCGGAGCGCCACTCCTGTCCTGTATGTACGTATGTATGGTCGCGGTTCACGCGGGACGCCAATTGCCAACCGCGCACTCAACCAAATACACAGCGTACAAGCCGCACCCTACCCCGCCGTACACAACACGAACTATTGTACTGCTGCGTACGTACTGGTATCCATCCGAAACGAAAGACCGAAACGAAAGCGGAAGACAGCCTGATACCGTATGTACCGGTGCCTAAGATGGACATCACATCCTTTGGTGTCCTTGTCACGCCGTAGCCAAACTCGCCTTCGAACACAAGACCACTCGCTACACGTACGTGTGGTTCTATACTGATCAATAGAATTGTCAACTAGCGTGTAAAAAAGACCGTGTGCGGGTATGCCTACACTGGTATCAATACTATCGTACCGGTCGGGGAAATGGCACCGGGGTGCGTGCATGAACACCTGGGTGTGTTTTTCATTGGGGATGGCATCGGTCGGAGCGATCGCACCGTGGCGCCTTGAAAAAACGAAACGAAACGGTTCAATTGCATTTCCACACCGGGGTCGGAGAGATGGCATCGGGGTGCGAACCCCCCCCGAGGAAAACACATACAAAAACGATCGTATCCGGTGCCATCTCTCCGACTGTTACGGTAGTTGGATCGACTTTCGGTACTCGGAAATATAAACCGTAGGTGGTAGAGATTTTCTCTCTTCCATGTCACGTATCCGGTGTGTACGTGCCGGTCGTGTGTACGGTATGGGTGTTACGATGTACTAGAGAACATCAAGAAATTGGACTTCATGCGTTGTGGGTGGTTTCGAAAAATCGTTGACCATCACACGACGCACGCGTGCTTCCTTATGTGACCTTGTATGCACGTTGGCGCTTTATCTTCTGTCGCCCAGACAGACCTTGTACCAGTAGACTTTCAAACACGAAAGCCGCACCAAAAACACACGACATCTGTCTGTCTCTTGGAAACGACTTTACACATCTTCAGTCCCCGCGCAACGTTCGCTATTGACGACCTATCTATCCATGCGCTCGACCTATCTGCCCATGCGCTCGGCCCCGCATTACTTCGGTCATGAGCTATTCCCCGATAGATTTGCTTTTCGGACAAGGAGTGCACGCCATCTATTCTGTAAAGGGGCTTTCAGCTACTATTCCCGCTTCTTCTGAAACCACAAAATGAAAATGAGGAACCATCTACGCAATCCATTGAAGGCGCTTTTCTCAATAAGAGCATAGTCTACATCCAACGCTAAAACCACCACCACCACAATATGTAGGCAAGTAAACAGGATCAGCCTGGCCAAAACAACTCGTGATACTGATATTTCGGGTTCAGACCAACAGGACTAGAACGACAAACACTACATCACATGACAAAAGTATCTAAACGCCACAGGTACACTTTGATACATAAGCACCCTCGGCGACCTCAAGAAAACAAATATCCCGGACGGATGTAGGAAGGGCCTTGGGCTTTGGTCATTGCTCACACAGGGCTGGTGGTCGCCTTCTTCTGTCCCGGCACATGAGCGGTGGACGCATGGGTGCCCCAATCACTGAGCCCCCTCCCCGACAACTTCCACGCCGTCGTCATCCGCTATTCCTTGTACTCTGCACACCACTCGCCCGTGTGTCAGACGCACGCATGGTCATTTGCTGTTGGTCAGGCGACGACATCCATATCGCTGTTCCTGTTGTCGCTGCCGCTGCTGTTGTTGAGTTCGTGCTCCGCCGAACCTCCGTCACCGGCTGCACCAACACCGCCAGGTGTCCCGGCAGTGGACGCCGCCGCTGTTGCCGACGGGGGTAGCGTCTCGGCGCCGCCGCCTTTCGACGACGCGGTCTTGCTTGGGGCACCACGGGCATTGTCATCATCGGGATCACCGGGGGGCTTCGCACGGCCGGCAAAGGTATCATGGGTGGTTGTCGAGGGAGGCAGGGAGGCTAGAATTCTCGCGCCCTTCGGGCCCTTTCCGTACTCAAGGGACAGCACGTGGAGGAACTCGCGCAGGGCGATTGGGTCCATGGTAGAGCCCTTGAGTGTGGCCTGTGGCGACGGGTGGAGAGGGAACACCCAAGGGCGTGCTCGCGGGGGGGGGCGGGGCAAGTTACGCGTGCAAACGAGGCTGGGCTGACAAGGAGTTATTTAACTGTTGGTACAATAAAGTTATTATGCAGCGCACCGGGCCAGAGGCTTTTTTATGCACGAACATAGATTACGGATGGTTCCTGTCCGCCGGTATTCGCGGTCGATGCTCAGTAGACATAAGAGACAATGCACACGAGGCACACACAGCAGGAGGACGTAAAACCGTGGGGGCCGACCCATTTGGCCCAACAGCTTGGCTGCCTTGCACTCACCAGCGTCCTAAGCAGCTCGTAGGCGTCCTTTTCGGCTTCCGAGAGGGCTCCGGCGCTGCCCTTGATCTCCTTGGCCTTGGTGGCATCAATGACTCTACACAGGAGTAACAGGAACGCACCACGTGGAGGGGGAGGACGAGCGGTTGCTTGTACTTATGTGCATACACGGCCTGTGGGGGGACAGGCGAGGGCATGTTTATGCAGGAAACACTAGCAAGCACCAGCGTACACTTCCTAGACTTTGTTTCATGCACTCCCTCCACACACACAGAAGTGAGCGTTCAGCAGAACGTGCGCCCCGCCTTGGTGTTCCACATAGAGTTTACGCCTGTGCTAACCCAAACAACACACGAGCACCACGCCACAAGACAGAAAAAGGGAAACTGATTTGTTTTGAACCACAAATGACAAACACTCACTGCGTTCGCAGGACCCGCGCCTCCTCCACGATCTCCCAAGGGAGACCGCACATCTCCGCCGTCCGGATACCGTATCCGTCGCCGGGGTCGCACCGCCCGTCCAGCGCCTTATGAAGATACCGCAACGCGCCGGTATGCCCGCCCATCCCCCCGGTCGCCCCCGTCGCCGTCGCTGCCGGTGCAAGGGCTGTCTGCAGGTGACTATCGCATGCAGTTTTGTCGCCGACGTTGTTGTTATCCGTGTTGCGTGCGTTGGAGTTTTTGTCGGTCGCAGATTACACGGGAGAGCGAAGTGGCGTTGGAGGGAGGGGGGNGGGGGGGGGGGGGGGGGGGGGGGGGGGGGGGAGGGGCGGGTGTGAGCGTAGATGGGCGTGTCGGCGCAAAAAACTTAGTGGTTTATGAGTGGGCGCATTCTTTCCCTGCCTTGCCTGTGCCACGAGCTGCGGAGACAGCAGAGAGACGACAGTCCCCATCTTATTGAAACGCCTCCTCGGTAAATCCTTCCAAACGCCTGCAACTTATTATAGGAAAACGAAGGAACGTAAGCATTTTTGATACTCCTCACAAAATATGGATGCCTCTACCCCCACCCACCCCCCCACCCCCTCTTCCCTACATGTTCTCGACGTTGGGGTAGAGGTCGGCCAGGCCGGGCATCTGGGAGTAGTGCGTGACGAACAGTGTATAAGCAGACGAAGAGAGCAGCTGCTCTGCCACCGCCCAAGCCACCGCCAGACCCTCTCGGTTCGACGTTCCCCGGCCGAGCTCGTCGATCATCACCTGACCCAATCAACGACGGTCGCAGAGGCGATCTTCTTTTATCATCGTGTTTGGTCATCATCTCCGAATTGATCCAAAGCCGATTGTATACACCCCCCCCACATTATTGCAGAGTTGTGGCCAATCACCACCCCTACAGGATTACCCAAAGAGATTTGTAGACGGTCGTTTTTTCCGCAGAGCTGTTGGTCGGTCAGTCGCAAGTCGCACAATGCAGCGAGGGCACCGCGACTAGACGCCGCTTAAGCTGGCGGATCCAAGAATCACAGGCCCCGAGGCCGGCCGATCAACTCGGATGCCGTATTTGCGCCCTATACACATACCCGTGCTTCTACACGTCGAAAGAAGGTACGCGCGTCAGGATAAGAATGATCGAGGCGGGAATGATCGATGCTCATGGTGAAACGACAGCGCCCCTTGCAAGCCTGCAGAGCCCAGCCACTATAATACGAGGAAGGTGACTGACAAACCTTCACTTCCTCAAAGGGTCTCAGGGCGCATGACTTTCTACCGCTAATTTCCCCCCTGAACCCCCCCCTCTGAGAACTGGCCGCGCCGACAGTACCCCGCCGACGTCGGCAACACTCACCAACGACCTGCTTGTGACTCTCTCCAACACCTGATATTCAGAAGTACGGCGCGCACGAAAAAAAGACAAAGCAACAATGACGCTCCGGACTGGGCTGGTGTTAGGCATGTAATGAAGTATCGACGCCATGGATGCAACGCCCCCACGAACCATGTGTGGTATGTTTTACGCCCATGCGAGGGTGAATAGAGGGGGGGCGAGGTGGTGCAAGCGAAGGATACGCCGCATAATAGGCACTCCTCTGACCTTTGCTTCGATAGACTCTTTCGGGAGAAGAAGGGAGTGTCGAGATCTCGGAACCGTACAGATGTGTGCGTGGAGGTAACTAGGAGCAAGAATTCGTCGAAACGCCACCTATCCAAGCAGTCGTCGAATGCGCACAGGATTTCAGGAAGCACGTGTATATTTGCTGCGCAACCCCTGGTGCGAGGGTGTCACAGCTCCCCGGTGCGAGGGTGTCACAGCTGCACAACCCCTGGAAGGCGTGAACACACCTAGCCACCACCCTCCCTCGTTGTCGCGGCCCACACACACGCGACGCGCGGCAAGCGCTACGAGGAGGGAGGGTTGCAGAACGGCAACGAACCTGAGCTATCTCGCGCATCTCCATGAGAAAAGTCGACACGTTGTTCTCCAAGTCGTCGCCCGTGCCGATGCGAGAGAGGAGGCTTGTGCGCACGGGGATGACGGCCATCTCTGCGGGCACGTAGCAGCCCATCTGCGCCATCAGCACTATCAGCCCTGCGGGTCAGGGGGGGGGGGTGCGCGGCGGAGACGAACAGCACACAGAGGAACGAACGACCGAGGGTTTCATGAGTGCGCGGTGCGCGTGTGTAGAGTTTGAGATCAGCCCATGAGCTTTGACCCGTTTCATTCTCGAGAGGATGACGACGACTTTGGGGTGGGACGGACAGAGAAACGACTCTTAGGAACGAGTGCGTCGTTCACGTTCGTACCGTGAACTCTTTTGTTCAAGTGTCATGGGTGCCGGGGTGGTACCCTATAAGAGGGCGTCACTGCGGAGTCCAAGCTAAGCTCAACATGCCGAGATTTCTGATTTTGTTGAATCTCTTAGCGAACCAACCTCACTTTTGACCCAAAAGCGAACGGTTGCACGACAAACCCGAAGAACAGCAGTAAAGTACCCAACACACACTAAGAACGGCAATCACTTCCCGAGCGAGCTGTTTCTCGCTCAAAACCAGGCATCCAAAGGTGCACTACTTCTCGCACGGCCCTCGTCCCTGCCGAGCAACTCCTGCCTCTCGCTCTGCCCCAACTTCGAAAAAATTCTTCTGGATCTGCTCTGAAATGGGATTTCGTGCTCGACGCCTACCACATGAACACATTGCAGACCCTCTGGGCATCTCCGAAATCAGTTGTTTTACTTAGTACACGTGCGACCTCATGGCCATGCCCAAGAAGGGGAAGGTGTAAGGCTAATCCCCTAATCAAAACGATATAAAGAACAGAAATATGGGAGCCAACGGTGAACCACGACGAAACATGGAGCGAACGCCGCACCTGCTTGCTTGAGGTACGTAGACTTGCCGCTGTTGTTCGGCCCCGTCACCACCCGGAAGTTGATAAAGGGGCTGAAAAAAGCGAAAGACGGCAGCAGAAACGACGACGCCGAAAACGCGAAAAACACGCACCGGATATGGAGGTGCCGCACAATAACGCGCATGGACTTGCCGGGGGGGGCGCTGAGCGAGACGTTAGCGCTCCTACGGGGGTGGGGTGGGGGGGGGAGGGGGGGATAACTCCTAGAAACAAAATGCCAACGATATCCATAGAGCCTTTGTCAAGAAGAGAACCCACCAATAAAATCAACATGCTACGGCAGCATGAATGCGTGTCGTGCCGTACCCACATCCCAAGGGCCCGGCGAACTATGTACTTTACGCACCACTCCAAAGAGCAACTTTTCACGTTACGCGTGTAATGATGGCGACATATTCGGCGTCATTCCTTTATCGACACCGCTGTGTTCTTCTTGTGTGTCGTATGCAGACATTTCGGACATGTTCTTACGAACGCGAAACAGGCCACAAAGAAAAACGGATCACTAGGCATCGTCCGTCATCCCTCCTCGCCTCATATAGGTGTCGTTGGGGACGAACTTGCAGTCTTCCTGCACGGCTCCGACGATGGGGTGGCGCCCGCCCCGGATGGACATGGGGCCGTCGGCGGTCACCTCTGGTCTGCAGAACGCCAGCGGGCTCAGCGTCACGAGGTCGGCGAAGCCAAAGATCATGTCGAGAAGCGCCACCGACTCCGTGACCTGGTTCCGGTAGTCGATGATTGGTCAACGCCACCAGCGCCACGAAACGACCGATTCGATTAGGTTGGCCGACAGTGCCACGAGAAACGGCCGATCGACACGGTTGGTCGATGCCACCAGTGCCACGAGAAATGCAAGGCGGGTGCGGCTACGTGACTGAACCGATACGACATTGATTGAGTGATCGATCAATTGAACAAGTGATCGATCAATTGAACGGTGCTTTGCTGGGTTCGAGAACCAAAGAAAAAAGGGCCGTTGTATCTAGATCGGGGCGCGGGAAGGGGACAGGGGTACGGAGATGCCTACGGCAAGAGGAAGAGTCGATACCCTCCCTCATCGGTTCTGTCGCACTCGCAATAGGGACGAAAAGCGGACGTTCTTTGCCAACATGCACAGCAGACAAAAGCTGTTCATGTGCGGAAAGTCACAGGCCTTTCCGCGAAAGTGGCGAGCCACCACACGTGAAGTAGGATTGACAACATGTTTTTTTAGTCGCTGAATCACGACCAGATGCTTCGCTTAGCCGTGACCAATGGATGTGTCGGTATTCCTGGGACAAGGCTGACAACTCCCATCACCACGAACACCGCCGCCCATCAACACCTCATCCCGACCCTCCGGGAACCACTGAGGCGAACAGCTCTAGTTCGAACGGCGGCGATAAAACCAGCCAATCAGAACAACACACATCGAAAACCGTCCGCAAGGAGGAGACGCTGTAGACAGACCTTCCCACACCGGCTCGACTGCCCCCAGAGAACTCAATCACCACCGTTAACCTACCAAAAACAACTTCACGTCACCACACATACTCTCCCCGTGCTCACCGCGAACAGGGCGTCGAGGGCCTCGGTCCGTATCTCGTCCGCCAGCATTTGTATGACGTCGTGCGTGATGAGGAGGGCGGTGCGCACCGCTTCGTTCGCACGGTCGGACAACGACGACACCTTCGAAGAAGAAACAGAAGAGGGAGAGGAAGGAAAAGAAGAGCCGTGCAACAGAAAACGAGAAAGACGATTCACGGCGGGGGCTAGGGCGCGACTCGTCAAGTTCGGCTTAACAACGGTGACAATGCTAGTCTAGCGTTCGCGCATGGTTGTCGTGTGTGAGGATGTGCGAGGCAGGTACGAAAAATGTCGAGCCCATCATGTACATAGGAGGCTTTGACTACATGTGTATCCCACGTTTTGGAAGAGATAACTATGCCGTTAAACAATGAGCTCAATTCAAAGCTCCCCTGTACTTCCGGAAATTACAGCAGTGAATATTCGTAGAAGATGACTTCCCCCGCAAGGAGTGTGGTTTCTCCCGGGAGTGACGCCAAACAAAACGTACACGCGTATGGCGGGGGCAGGGGTCGGGTCGCCGACGTGCGCTTACCTCCTCGGTGGTGCAAGCTATGGTCTTAGTATTCTGGACCGCCTGGATCAGCCCGGGCGGGAGATCCACACCGGCCGGGATGATGAGGTGATATCCCCGGGAAACCGAGCACGACACCTGGAAACCCGGTCCACCGTCACCACGCGCGGAGGAACGTCGCGCCCCCGCGCGGGGTGAATCCCAAAGGGCGGAGAACGCGTGAGGTCTATTTAGTGCGTGGAGATTCTCAAGTCATACCCCTCGGCGCCGAAGAATAATGGGAGGGGGCTACTCGTTGCGGGGGTGAAATGTGTGGGATAGGAGTGTGTGCCGTCGGCAACATTCAGCCAACTACAGCGGTATTCAGCTACAAATGTGTGCCAGGTGTACCATTGGGAATCTTGTAAACAGGATCATGCAAGTGCATATTGGGCAGACGTAGGTAATGTACAAAAGGTGCTGGTCACATTGCAGACAACTCTGGTCTCTCCACCAACTGCCAGCGGAATGTTTGGATTCTCTGGAACCGACAGGAGGTGCACCAGCAACAGCAGCAGCAGCAGCAAACACAGAGTAGTGGCACATGAACCTAACATTAAGTGGATGGGCAGTGTGGTGCAGGTACGGCCGAGGGTCATGACACGAAAAAACATACCATATCCATGAGAAAGGTGATGACAACGAACGGATTGACAATAACACACCCATCACCCTGGTGGCGGTTCGATAATCCTCCGCCTGGTACCATGAGGGATCAGCTGGAGCGAAAGCAAGCGCCAATACGACTTCCACTGCCACTACGGCCGGCGCCGGCGCCGCCAAAAACAAGAAGGACTTCATCTTTGTAAAACCGAGAAAATAATGCCAGAGAAACACCTGTCTACCCATCGAACCGACCTTGACTTGATAGCCGTGCTCCTCCGTCATGGCGTCTGCCGCCTGATAGATGTCTTCCATGCTCTGCAGAAACGTCGTTCGCGCGACGTCCAGCATCCCATCCACGTCAGCTCGAACTGCGAAGCACTCCTGCAGGATCGATCGGAGTTAGGGTTGTGGGCCAGAGTCAAACGGTTAACGCCCAGCATCGTTCGGGGTCGTCGGGTTTCCTTCGGAGCAGGGGTTCAACTAGGGAGGCGCGTGCAAAATTCCGAGGGGCCGTTCAAGCCAGCAGGTTGACAAGGCGCACATAGTTCCACCGCGCTTGATGTCATGTGATCGAATCTACCAGGAATCGATGAGCATGGGATTGTGGTCACCGTCAATCGCAGAGTAAGGACATGACCGAGGCGTTTTTTTGTACCCTCCCGACGAGACTGAAAGGTTTCCATTCGTTCGGCGGGTAAGCGCGGTCGTCACGTCGCCGTGCAGAGCATCACACAACACAATCGGAGCTCTTCGCCTAAAGACACAACATCGTAGGACGCGGGTTAGGAGTTGCGGGTGACAGCTCTAATAAGACGTTACACCTAGACAAATCTATCACGCACCAAGCGAGTATGCACGACGTCCTCCCCTCTACCTCGTGGCGCAACGCCGCCGGGTTCCTGGTGTACGAGGTGCTGTCCGTCAGGACCGAGTCCAGCCGCGCTAGCGTCTTCTCCAGGCAAGGGTCGAGGAAGTTGTCCAGGAGGGCCTTCAGGAGAGGGCTACTGGCACTACCACCAGCGCCTTCGCCACTGCTGTTGCCTCCGTCTCCTGCCGCATCTCCCGTGGCGTCGTCGCCGTTGTGGAAGCGCTCGTCATATTCTCCCTCCCGGCCGCTGGCGTCCCGGCAGGCGGTCGGCTGCTGTTCGCTCTCTCGCACGCCCTCCTATTGGGTTGGGCCGGAAACTTGCTTGGGGTTAAGTGGATATACTTGGGATCAGTGCGACTACTTGAAAATGGGGTCGAGTTTCGGCTGGTTTTGTACACGAATATTGCATTGGTATAGTCTACTACATACAGGAGTGCGTGTTTAATGCGTCGCCTCTCAGCACAAAGTCGAATGTTCGGTTGTCGCTCGTTCTGCTTGAGGTCGTCCGCAGGAGTGGTCAGCATTTTTAAGATTGAACGTTACAAGAGGCAACCCATCCATGATTACGCACTATACTGTACCAAGGTAACACGTGTGTACCAACCAGCCGAAACATACAGCCGACGCAATCTCTATATCTGTCTGTACTGCAGTGTACAAACATTCACACAGATTTATGTGCAGGCAGGTGCGCAGCGAACAGGTGATCGAGAACTTGCTCTCCCCCCCCCCCCC